CGGCTTCCTTCCACCCCTGCCCCTCTCCTCCCCCAACCCCAGACTACCGGCTTGAAACCTCGGAGGTGCCCCTGACCTACTACACGCGCTACGAGTACGGCGACCTCACAGACAAGCCCCTGCCCTTCAAACAGAAGAGATCGGTGGGCGCGCAGAAGGAAATGAATGACAGCGAGAGACAGACAGGGGGGAGAAGCGCATGTGTGTATGTGTCTGTGTGTGCGCGTGCGCGCGTTCGTTCGCGTGTGTGCAGGCGTACTTCCGCACGCATGCCGAGCACGCATGTGCAGGCCTGCTTCTCACGCGCTCACGAACCAGCGCGCTGCACCGCCACGCCGACCAAAAGCTCGCCACAGCCCCGAAACCAGCCATCCCAGGCCCCTCATCTGTCCTCCACCCCGGCCCCGCGCCCGTGCCCTGCCCGCCCCTGCAACCCCGCCCCTTCAAACGCACGCAGGACGCCTTGATCGCGGCCTTCATATCCAATTGCGGCGCCCTCAGCAATCGAGGGCAGGTGCTGGCTGACCTTATCAAAGTGAGGCCCGGCCCAGCCACAGCAGGGGCTTCCGGGGGCTTCCGGGTACCCAGCGATTTGCAGGGACGCCTTGGGGTTCAGCGGTCCGCGGCGTCCAGGGTTTGGGGTGGCGTGTCGGAACGTCAGGTGCTGCGGGACCTGATGAGGGTCGGGCCTGAACCCTGCTGGGCACCCTCAGCTGTGAGGGGTTTAGGAGCGTTGGGGGGGGGGTTCGGGGGGTCACTGGGGCGTTCCTGGGGTTACCATGGGATTCTGCGGCTAGTCTCAGGGGTTTCTGGGTGTGTCCATCCCCAGTTCGTGGGGTTGCTGTCCCTCCAACTTTCCCCCCAACCCCCCGATCCCCGTCTGTGTCCGGCTCCGCAGCTGCTGCCGGGGCAGGTCCACTCCTATGGTGCCTGCAACCACAATAAGGAAGTCGATAGGACGATCAGTGGCGACAAATGGAAGCAGAAGGAGGTGAGGCGGGTTGTCGTAACAAACGCCCGCCGCGCCGATTTTCGGGCGCCAGAGAGCGCACCTGCGCGCGTGACCAATGCGTGTCCGCGCATGTGTCTGCGCATGTGTGCGCGCGTGTACGCGTGCGCGTGCGTGCGTGCTCGCTTGTCTGCGATCGTGAAGGCCGGTGGCGTGTCGTTGCGGCTGCGCCCCGCGCAGGCGGCTGTCCGTCCGCCCTCCCTGCTGCCATTCCGCCGAGGGCTGGCGCGGCCGTTTTCGCTCTAAATGCACAATAACCGATGGCACGGCTCTTTTCATCACTGCAGAGCGCTGATACGTGCCGCGCAGTCACGCACGAGCGCAAACGATGAACGATGCGTCGACCACGTTCGCCCCCCCCCCTTCGAAACCCCCTCCAGGCGGTTTTCGCGACATACAAGTTCGCGTTCACTCCCGAGAACTCGATCGACGAGGGTTACGTGACCGAGAAGATCTACGGGGCCCTGAAAGCGGGTGAGAACTTTTTTGGTCACCAGGCAGGCAGACTTCACCTTGTCTGCTGGGGTCACCAGCCTATTGTTCAGGGGTGGAAAGCGGATTCACCATGCAGACGCTGTCCGGTGTCGATTTTCGCTTCGTTTTTGCAACCCCACTCCACCGCGAGTCGCGCTCCGAGCCCCCCGACTCGCGGCGGGCCGGGGGGCAGAGGGATGCACGTGCCAGCGGCGGCGCGAGACCGCGGCCGTGCGGGGTTGGTGACGCCACCGACTGCCTGCCAAGGAGCCCCGCTGTCCATTGTCGAATTAACCAACTCAGGCCTGCGCTGCCGCGGCCTCACAGCACCACTGGCGCCCCCGCGGCCGCCTCCGATCGCCCCTCATGCCGCCCTCGGAGCCCTGCCGTCGCGCAGCCACCACCCCCCCGCCCACTGCCTCTGCTCCTCCGCTCTCTCATCACTCCGGCGCCTCAAACGCCAATTACATCCCTTCAACCCTTTTTCTTTTTTTATCCTGCAACGCCCAGGGGCAGTACCCATATACATCGGCGCCCCGAACGTCCACCGCCTGGTCCCAACACACGACTCAGTCATCAGGGTCGAGGATTTCAAGAGGTGACGGGCCCCCAGATCTCGAGATCTCGAGATCTTGCCGCGATATGCGGATCCCGCGCCCCGGCCGCTGCAGGGCCAATGGTCGTTTGGGACACCGCCCCGCGGGTGCAGCGCGCTGAGGCTGGGCCGTTTGAGTTGGTGAAAGGCGGTGCGAGGGGTTGTGAGATTTTGATGAGGGACCATGGGCTGGCTGCAGGCCGCGCTCTGCTTGACAATTATCAACAACTTGACCGCACTGGTTCTGTTTGTTTGAAACTATCCCACCCGTGCCTGCGCCCGCCGCCCGCCCGACGCCGCAGCACCGCTGAGCTGGCGGATTACATAAAGCGCGTGGGGGCTGACGAGAAGCTGTACCGCAAGCACATCGGGTGGAAGTACCGCCCCGAGTCAGAGTGGAGCGAGGTGCGGCGGATGTGCGCCGGATAAAATGCCGGCTCTTTGACACCGGCTTGAAACAAGACCCATGAGTTTTCTGACTGAATCGATCTGGATTGATGCACCACAGTAAAGGGTTTCAAATGCCATGCCAGTCAATTGGACGCTGACCACCGCACGTGCCCCGTGTCTGGCAGATCGAGGCCGCCTCGCGGCTCGACTCCCCC